GGATTATTTTTCAAGATAATAAAGTCACTTACCTAAAATATTTGAGAGGGAGCTTCCGATAAAAATTCGGCTAAAGAGAGATCTCAAAACTTTCTAGGGTGGGAATCCTCACCTCTCCGAATTTAAATTCTTATAACATATAATTATATTATTTTATTAAGCTCCACTTCATACCTGAGGTGTTACCTTAATATTATGCGGGAGATGATTAAGGCCCACGTCAACTAAGGACATCGTAAGGGAAAGGAAAAAGCTTAAACCAAAAGCTTTTGAAAGTAATGATGGTCCCTAGGGACTATCATGCTCATATAGACCATCACGTATTAGAAGTTTCTTTTCTCTCTCTTTTTTTTTTTTAAGGATTATTACAAAATCTCTACCAACTAAAAAAGTAGATATGGCCAAATCAATTCCTACAAACTAGAAAAGTCGAAGTAAATCTCTATAATTAGGAAAATGAGATGTACAATCGTCAATATCAGTTACCACCTTTGGGAAGGTTTTCTTAGGGAGAGAGAGAGAGAGAGAGTTGAGATGGGTTTTACATAACCAAATGAAATGCGTAGAGAGAGAAAGAGGAGAGCAAAAATAGGCCGTCGAAAGTAACAAAATTTTGATGGAAGAGAGAAAGATAAACGTAGGTCATATGAAGAGCAATAAAAGAAAGGAAAAATTACATAAATATCCATTTTATTTTCCGTTATTATCAAAATACCTAAAACTTTATGTTATTACTCATATATCCGTTTTTTTGACTTCATAATGATTTTTTTAAAACAAGATCGAATTACCCATTTTTGGTTTTTCAAAAACAAAAATGGGCCCAAATTCGGTTTTTGAAAAACCGAATATCAGGGCCTGCATCACACACAAGTTTCCAAATTATCTCTCTCGTGTTTCATCCTTGATTTTGGGGTTTTAGAAAAAGGAATATCAGGGCAACAAAATGTTGCAATTTTTGCAAGTTTTCTCTGTGGTGATACTTGGATCAGGCCATTGTTAGGTAAAGTATTATCAGAGCTGGTTGGGTTGATGACGAACCAGATGGTTGTATCGATCAACCTTGGAAGAGAGAAGAGATAGAGAGTAGAGAGATCCTCCAAACCAGTGTAACAACTGCACTGTGTTTTCTAGTCTCTATGGAGTGGACACCCACCATGAAAGTAGAGCATTTCATATCAACTTGAGAGAGAGATTTAGTTGGGCATGTTTGGGTTTGAACAATTAATCTTCAGAGAGAGACTTTTCATTGGGCGAGTTTTGAACATTCTTGAGAGAGAGACCCTATGAACACTGGAAACTAAAGGGTTCACTGAGGAAAAAGGAGAGAGAGAGAGGGAGAGAGAATCATTGAAGAGGAAGTAGATAGAGCAAGAGTACAATTGGAGCACAAAGGATCACTAAACCAGAGATGTGAGCAGCTTTCTTAAAAACTAAAACGCCAAAATCAAGGATGAAACATGAGAGAGAGAATGTGGAAACTTGCATGTGATGTAGGCCCCCATATTCTGTTTTTCAATAACCGAATTTGGGCCCATTTTTATTTTTGATAAATCGAAAATGGGTAATTCGGTTTTTTTTTTTTAAATAGTTATAAAGTCCAAAAAATGGACATATAGGTAATAACAATTAATTTTAGGTACTTTGGTGATAACATAAAATAAAACGGAAATTTATGTAATTTTTCCTAATAGAAATAATGTTTTTTTTAATGTTATTAGAAGAAAAAATATTTTGTAGGATATGTGCCCATTATGGACTACTCCACCTTTTCTAGACTATCAGGTTTTTTAAAGTACTCCCTCATGTTAGAGACCTGTGTAAGGCATATGTTTTAAATAAAATAAAATAAAAATCTGCTTTAAGAATATAATAATATTTTTTGTCATGAAAAATAAATTTAAATACAGGTTTCATAAGACTGTTTTTGAAGTGATTAGATATGCATCATAAAACCATCGAAGGGCAAAATGTATCATGTATATGATCCCATAGGAGCACACTATATGAATACTCCTAAGGGTTAGACACTTAGGAAATCATATTTTTTTAGAGAATAAAATTAAAATTTTTATCTAACAATATATTCACAAATTTCTCATAAGAATAAATCTATAATACAAACCCGTAAGCATAAGAATAAATCCATAATACAAACCCATAAGAACAAAAAAGATTTCTTCTCACATTTTATTATGTTTACCACATAAAATCATAGTATGGATTTTGGCCAGATTTGACCTTGATTTTTGGACCCAATAGCACATTGATGGAGTGCATAAGTTCCGCATTGTACTAACACAACTATCGGGCATAAACCGAGTAATGTCGGATTGCCATCTACATAGTGTTTGAGCTCTGGAATCGAGTAACATCTATTGCCAGACCGCCTTTTGCAATTGCGAACCACACTTTGCATAGTATTGGAGCCATACTACCGCACCACATTTTATATAGTGTCAGAGCTTACTATTGAACCACACTTTACACAGTGCCTTACTGCTGGACAGCCAAATAACATCTATGGTTGGACTGCCCTTTGCAACTGCCGACCATACTATACACAGTACTGAAGCCCTATCACCGAACCACACTTACAGTGTTAGAGCCTACTATTGAACTGCACTTTAGACAGTGCGTTACTGCCTGACCGTATTTACACCACAGCCTCTATTTTGGTGGGATAGAGGAGAGAGACATGGATAAAGTAAAAGTTAGGAATGGCCATTTAGGTATTTTTTTATTATTTGATTGCAGGTATTTTACATAAAAAGTGTATTTTGAAAAAAAAAAAAAAGAGAAAAAATTAGCTCGGGCAAGATGCATTTTCTAATGTTCCCAAATTTAAAAGTTGCCTCCGGTCTCTAACCCTCGCCCCTCTGACAACCCTCCGCTCAGTCAACGCCTAGCCCCCTCCCTCACAAACCCTAGCCCCTCTCTCACAACCCTCTCCTCTCTCGTAGCCGTGCCTTCACTCTCACCAGGCCTCCCTCCACTATCTCTCAATCCTCTGCGACTTCTCTCACAGACCCTCAAGCGAGGACCCCATACACGCTACCTCATCTTCTTCAAGCGATGATTCGAGGATTTATTTGCAGGCTTTCATCTTCTTCAACAAGGTATGGTTGTTTTTTATTTTTTATTTGCTGGTGTTCTTTTATGGTTTTTCTTCATCATAGTGTAAAGATTCTTCACCAAATCTATGAAGTGGCATAGATTTGAGGAAATAATTAGTACCTCCGAATCGCTTCCCAAAAGGAAGCCTCCGGAAGATGGGAGCATTGAATTGTGAATTAAACCCCAGATAATGAGTTCTGCAGAATATATTTCTGGAAATGTGATCTCTGTTTGGAATTTCAAAATAACTTTACCTGCAAACAACAAGATAGACCTACTTGCTAGCAATTCACAAAAAAAACCAACAAAAGATTAAGGTAATTCTCTAGGGAACCACATAGAATGGTGTCATTGAAACAAATCGAGGTAATTCTCTAGGGAACCACATCGAATGGTATCATTGAAACAAATGGAGCTACTAAACTGATACAATACATTAGAGCTCAAAATTTTCTCAATTTGCCCCAAACAATCACAACATGGTTTATTTCTTCAAAATAACTTTCTCAATGACGTTTAGTTACTTAAAATGAAATAATGAGTACTTTATCAAGGATATTGGAAACTCTTATCAAGATGGTTTATCGACTCAACATGGTTTTCATTGTCAGGTTTATTGACTGAGAACTGCAACTCAAAATAGTTTTTATTATCAGGTTTATTGACTGAGAACTGCAATTCTGTTTTCTTCCGTGATGAACTCATGCCCCACCATTATTTTGTTTAATTTTATGCTGATTTTTATGTTATTAGATGGTCTACCTTCAAAATTATTTTGTTTAATTTTATTCTGATTTTTATGTTATTAGATAGTCTACCTTCAAAGTTATGGTTTTTATGTTATTAGATGGTCTACCTTCAAAGTTATGGTTGGTAGATTGCGAACTTCAATTAATAAATGTCATAAGCTACATGTGCTTAGTCTAGACTACATAGTCATAAGCTACATGTGTTTAGTCTAGACTACATAGTCATAAGCTAGCTGTTAGCATTATCAACAACAATAATCCTTGCAGGGAATCTTGACTACATGCTGCTAGCTGTAAGCATTATATGTGATTTTTTGTTAGAGTCAAAATGGATTGTTCGAAAAGTGAAGTTTTAGTTGAAAAACCCAAAAAATATTTTAAGGGGAGAAATCATAAGTGCTTTTTCTATTTTTTCTTATTTTATTGAGTATAGAAGCACAAATTTGCTCCGTAGAAATTTGTTGCTTTTTGTTTTTTTTGTCTTGTTGGTTTTGTTGTATGGGTTAAGCATACAAGCACAATTTGCTTTGTAGAAATTTGTTGCCTTTTTTTCTTATTTTTTTCTGGTTTTTTCTTATTGATTATGTTGTTGGCTTTGTGGCTGGTTTTGTTGTTAGGGTTGTGCATACAAGCACAATTTTCTCGGTAGAAATTTGCTGTTTTTTTTATTTTTTATTATTATTTCTTGATGGTTATTTTGCTGGTTTTGTTGTATTGGTTTCACATACAACACAATTTGCTCTGTAGAAATATGGATTGCACATTCAAGCACAATTTGCTCTGTAGAAATTTGTTGGTTTTTTTTTTTCAATTTCTTGCTGGTTTTTAAAAATGTGGGTATGACTTATCAAATACTTCCTGACTATTGTTTTGGTCTCCTCAAGTCCTTGAACAGATAAATTTCATATCCAAAAAAAAAAAATTTGACATGCTTTTTACCATATCTCAAAGAGGCCTCTTGGACTCACAGGGCTGCTTACTGGTTCAACCATTTCCAATGCAACCTCCCAACCATTCCTTAACATTGCAGCCACTTCTCTCATGAATGGCTCACTACCTCTTTCAACAAGCACACTCTCACCACCTTTGCAATCACAAACCTCCTCCTTCAGCACATCACCAACCACCTCATCTAACAGCTCCATAGAGCCTTTTAACATTCCCCGCCTCTCTAGTGCATCTGCTTACTGATTTCTCTATGTTTATAGCATTCATTTTTTATCTCTTTTGCTATGCTGAGTTATTTTGTATCAGGCTATTATTCTTTGGCAATGATGTGTGTTTTGGGCATATAAACCACTATCATTTCTTTGCATCAATATTGGTTTCTCAGCGTATGAATTTGAGTTGGGCTTGAACTTAATCAATATGTAAGATAGATGTGAGTACCAGTTCGTTCTTCCAAAATCCATGCAACCACTAGAAGAAACTAATTTGGTCAGTGAAGGATTTGGAATTTATTGATGTCTTGAGAATCAATATATGGGTTTTTGTTTTTTACTGCAATTTCTGCCATGAAATTTATAGTCTAGAAACGTATTGGCAATCCAAAGGTAGTGACAGGAGACAGCTAAGGTTACAAGTATTTTAATGGAAAATATTCATTTTAATATTTTCCATGTATTATATTATTTTAATATTTTTCTTCTTGAGTCTGGAAATGGTTACAAGTATTTTAATGGAAAATATTCACTTTAATATTTTCCATGTATTATATTATTTTAATATTTTTCTTCTTGAGTCTGGAAATACTGGGTTCTTGATATAGGTTCCAGGTATTTTAATGGAAATAATTTATTTTAATATTTTTATGTTATTTATTGAGTCTATGCAGTTTTGGGTTGCTGATATTCAATGAGATAGAAGGTTTTTGGGGTCTGATATTTCTTTATTTTATTTACTTTTTAATTGTGATTTTAGGGGTTTTATTATTGTGGGGCCTTGGATAGGCTGGAAACAGCAGGGATTGATCTTCTTGAAACTGTAATTATGGGGTCCAGTTTCAGTAATTCACAAATAAAACATGGCCACGGAGGCTGTTAATTTTTTTACTCCTTTTGTGGCCCTTGTTTATTTTGTTGGGAACTATTCATTCCTTTGAGTACAGAGTGGAATTACATGGGCTTTGGTTACTGTAAACCTAATCATTGAAGCAGATAAAATTCAATTCAAGGATACTGTGGAGATTGCAGGATCAATAGTATCAATTGATTTATCATTGCTTGCCTTTCATAATTCTCATTTAGTTGGCACAAAACTATGTAATTTGTACCATTTGTGTATTGATTGATCTATCATTGCCCTTATGCCATTTTTTTAGTTTCTGGTTGATTACTTTGAAGGATTAGAAAATGTTTCTTTAAAAAAATTGTGAAATATGCCTTATATTATCCCATCCATTGGTCAAACTAAGATAACTTCATAGGTATATATGACGATCTCTATTGTAAAATGAAGTGCTTGGATGCGACTCCTCTTATGGCTCACGAGATTTCCCCATCATAACGAGTATCCCTGGCTTGCTTAAAGCTAATTCATTGTGAAAGGGTAACAATTTGCATCTTTGGCTGTGGTATGATGTGGATGCACCACAAATAAATACCCACAATGGAGATGGATTTTGGACCTGAACATAGGGGCTCAAATCCTTATTTTCTTCCACATCCATAATCATGGAGGTGAGGAGGATGGACCTATAAAGTTTTGCGACTTGTAATCCATTTCCAAGGTGGTTTTTAAGGTGCATCTGCGTGGAACTATGGTCTTGCCATGACCTACCCTTTTCCCAAATGGAATTGGACATGCACCATGTGTGAGTAGGCAAACCTTTAAAACAGGGCACAACTTCACACTTGTTTAGTTGTGCTTAGTTGTGCATTTTATGCCTACTTATGGGTTCCTATTAATCATGGGGTGACGTATGCTTATGCCTATTTCTTAAGTCTCACTTTAGATATCCTAAAGTAGGGATTGATGTTGAAGGCATGCTTCTTCACTTTACTATATGCTTGGTGATATGGGTTGAATTTTTTATATACTATCTGTATTAGAAATCTGATTCAAATATACAGTTAATTTCCTGGAGTTGTGATTTAGGTTCATAAAAATCACATTCACCAATAGATTACTCTAATGCATTGGAGTTCATTCATCAATAGATTACTCTAATGCATTGGAGTTCATTCATCAATAGATTACTCTAATGCATTGGAGTTCATACACACATGCACACAGAGGGAGGGAGGCATAGTATAGCTGTTAAACTGAGAAATAAAGTGAATTTTGGTTGATTGCTAGAACCCAAAGCAAGTGTATAATGTAAAAAGATTCCACGATTTTCCTTTTTAAAATTTTAAAATCCATGTAATTAATTTTTTCCTTTTTTCAGAAATAATATATTTTTATCTAATTTAGTTCAAAGTTTTGATCTTTTACTGACTTAGGTTTTAAACATGGCTCATATATCCTTTGGAGCCTCAAGGTCCTTGCCTGTTTTTCTTATATGTGTATTGCTTCCCCATAAAGCAAGGGCTTGGTGCTTCAAACTAACAACATGTTAGATCAGCAGTGTAAAAGTAAGCAATTCCAGTTTGATAGGTTCACAGTACGACTACCCGCTGCGTTGTAATTCGATGCATCACAGTTTGCTCACTTACGTACATAACCTTGCCCCTGACAGGGCTGTAATGTCTAGTAGCATTTCTGATGAAGTCCTTCTTTGCACAAAAACTTCAGGGCAGGCATTCAGGCCTTCAGAGGTGTTTTTCAGCCTAGTTTGCTGGCCTTTAGGGCTGGCATGATGTTTTTTATTGTATGAGTTTGCATCGATTTCATTTTCTACATTTTCCAACTGTGGATATTTATTTCGTTCCTCCATTAATTGTGCAGGCTCATGCTGTTCTGAAACCTTTTTCTAGTTTTGTCATTTTGCAGTCACTTTCTAATAACTGGGTGTCTTTTGACCCTTCATTGTGTGGTTTGCGTACCATAACACATTTTTATTTTATTTTCCTTTTGGAGCCTTATGGGACAAAAGGTAAACGCAACTTTGGATTTTCTTTATGGCAGGTTGAAGCCTCGCTTATTTGTCTTGCAATTCTTATCATTATATTGGTGTCTTACACTCCTTACCTACCTCATCTCTTTGCTACTACTGCATACAACAGAGAGATGTTTTTCCATTGATCATGCAATGATTTAAAAGATAGTCAAAGATTATGACTCTAGAACTTATTGGGTAAACCCTAACCAAACTCATTAAATGGAGGCCTGACATTTGATGGTGCTGGTGTACTCAAAGTAGCAGCTCAAGTACCTTACAAGTACACTATAAGTGGAATTGTCTTTGGAGTTCTGATTATGTTCCTTCATTCCCTTCTTGTGAATGTTTGTAGTTGTCTGGAATACTCTAAATATGTGTTCCTCAGGTATATGTCAATTAACAGGGAAATCATTGTTGGGATGTTAGAAGTTAATCTTGTTTACTACTTTCTTGTTACTCTTCTTTAAGCTATTCCATCACATTTCACTTACTGAATAATCACCTATTATTAGTGAAACTTTGATTTCCTTCATTCTCTCCCTAAGCCTCTCTCTGTAACTGCTTCCTGTAGATAACATGGGTATTTAGATGTCTAGGCCCAATTCTGCCTCCAAACGCTGGAGCACAAAACCGGATAAGGTTGTCCCTGTGGGTGCTGCTGCCACCAAAGGTCGTCCCTGTCGCTGCTGCTTCCACCAAATGGAGCACAAACCCAACTAAGGTCATCTCCGCTGCTTCCGCCACCGCCGCTGCTGCTGCCACCGCCGCTGCTGCCACCGCTGTCGAATGTTTGCCCCCTAAGGTCATCATCACCATCAACAAACCCTGCTCAAGGTCGTGATCACCATCAACTGCCCTGCTAAGGTCATCATCACCGTCAACTGCACCTAACAGAGGCATGTTCTTGAGAGGAAAGTTCCATCAAGCAATTGCCTTTTGGTTGAATCAATTGAGAAATGGATGCCCCCCATATATTATAACTCCCTCTATCCTGGTTGAATTACTATGGAAACATTGCCGTATAGAAAGGCATAGAATGAGCGATGGAGGTCTTAGATGAATTGGAAATCAAGGGTTGTTATGTTGACGTAGTTCTGTATAATTCTCTTATTAGTTCTGCTTGTACAGTGCTAGTTTGACGATGTTGGGATGTCCCTTTATGATTTTGTTATCGAGGGGGTTAGAGCCCAACGCGATAACGTTCAACACTTTGCTCCATTTTATTTGTATCCTTGGCAGATGGCAAGAGGCTGAAGAACTTTTCCCTATTATGGACCAAACTTCAAATACCCCAACTATGGTTACTTAAATATATTGATCACTAGCCTGAGCAAGTTTGGTCCATAGTTACCAGAATCTCTTTATCGATCTTGCGTTTTCGGTTTCGAAATCCGATTTCGTGTTTTCGTTAAAAAATCTTCACGGAAACCGTTCTTTGGAACCAATGAAACTTGATTCCTTAATTTCGGAATCTCGAGTCGACACATCTTTAAAACTATTTTTCGGAATCAAGGAAACTCGATTCTTTAATTTTAAAATCTTGATTTAACACATTTAGAAATTTGAAGTCGTTAATTGTGGGTAGATATTTTCAAATATATCGAATTTGGATTTCAGCGATGATTAAATCTTGATTCCACATCAATTGGAGTAGAAATCTTCTTTGGACTGTTTCTAGTAGTTGTCGGGTTTTATTATTTTACTTGTGCCTGGATGGCTTTTACTTTAAATTTAAATATAACTGATAAATACAATAGATACAATTAAAAGTAAAACTATGGTGTAGATATAATCCGATTGTCTCTATAATAATAGAGTTGAAAATCACTATTGAGAAATATTTGTCTTTTGTATATAATGATCATAAGTTCAATGGTCAACACAATCATTTTAAAATTTGAGAAACCTTTTAATATATGTTCTAAAGTTGATGAGGTTCAAGATGTGCTTGTTGTTTCATTCTTCATAAAAATGAAATCTCGATTTCTAGTAGGCGTCGTTAAACGCATTATATAGTTTATATTATTGTAAATCTCGATATCAAACTGGCATGGATCTTTGATCCATATACTTCAGAAATTTGATTCCAAATATGTTAAATTCATGATTTGAAACAACATATTTCTGTTCCCCATATGTCAGAAACTCGATTTTATAGATGTCGGAAACTCAATTCCACATGTTAATGAATCTTGACTCATGGAGTGTCGATTTCAGGGGGATGGAGATTTTGATTCCTAGGACGGATCTCGATTCCAAGGACGGATCTCGATTCCATATGTGGATGAAACTTGGAACTATTTCGGTTGAAGCACAATTATCAAAAATTAAGAATCTCGTTCCTAGCGATTCCTATTGTACGGACAACGATTCTTAAGACAAATCTTCTAGTCGGCTGCGATTTCGGTTCTTAAAACAATTTGGGTTCCCAGACGTTTCCAACAACTATGGTCTGGTCTATTGGATCGGGCAATTGATTTCTTGGCTCAAATGGTTTATCAGGGACGCTCACCAGACGTAATTATGTATAATACCTTTTTAGGTGCCATGGGCAAAGACCTTTTTAGGTGCAATGTGTAAATAGGGTGTGATGGATGATGCCTTTGATGTACTTTATGTTTTAAAAAGCAAGGATGTTTCTCTTGTCCAAGTTATATATAATATTGTAATTGATGGTTTGGTGAAGGAAGGTGGTATGGGAAAAGCTTTAGGGTAATTAGGTAAGATGATTGTTGGGTATACTTCAGTAATATATAACACAAAGTACATTTTAACGAACCCTCAATAATGATTGAGGTGATTATGAGACAATGGTTAATGCACGCTCGATGAATGTCTTAATAATAGATAAGCCTGACGAATCCAGAAAACATGCCTTTGGTTGGGTATGTTTTTAATTCTCATATGAGGGTAAGTGTATTCTAACCAACCCTTGATAAAAATGTCAATTTAGAAAGTGTTGAACCGATGCTTGATAGAGGGAGTAATACGAGCACATGTTTTAAACCGACGCTGGACAAGCAGTAGTTTTATAACGAACGTTGGATAGGTTGTCTTAGCTGACATTGGATGAAAGACGAATGAGCTGAACAAGCTTAGCCTTTGAAGATATATTTTGGATGATAAAAATGTTTCCTAGTCCTTATATAAGACTAAGTGCATTTTAAGGAATGCTTGATAGATTGAAGATGTCAAATAGACAACAAAGTTGGTAATGCACACTGGATAACTGTCTTAACAGACAGTCTCTAAGATACGAGCTTGATTCTTGATAACACTTGCTCATATATGCTCCATGATATGAAGATATGATATGCATGATTCATGATATGAAGGCCCTAACATGCCTTCGAAACCCTGACTTGTCAGTCTGCTTTTATATGTTCTGACTTACAACCAATAACATATATGATAGTTCGTCAGTTAAGCATTTTCAAGTTTAACTACTGTTAATGATTAGATATGAAAGCCATCTCATTGTCAGAAAGTTCTAGGATATATATATTCCTAAGGCCCGATATGCTTATCCATGTGATATATGGAGGAATCTGATGCGGTTTGATATACATATTTCTTGAATCCGTCGTTAGTTACGCATGTGCATCATAACATAAGGTCTGTAACAAGAGATTATAAAGACGTTTTAATTTGAGACGAAACTCTGAGATACATATACTCCCATGGCACATGGATGCCTCTCTACTGGATATTAGAGGAGTTTTGGGTGAGAAACGATATTGACTATTTTAATCCATCATTAATTAAGAATATAAGATTTTAACAGATAGTGCATAAAAGAAACCTTGCAATATGTTGATATATTGAGGTAAATCTTTGAAGGTATACATGTTGAGACCTTATATGCCTTGATGTCCAGGAGTGATGTAACTTGGGCAATATTTGGACTTGGCTTAACCCATGTCCATATTCACCATTAGTTAAGAAATGCCTTGATTGACACCGCATAACCTCATGTTTTGGAATTTAGCCAAGACTCTCAAGGGCTAATGTTTGAGGCATCATAGCCCTCATCTTGAAGTTTCGTATCGCCTGGAGGTGAATTCGTTCATTATCCGCATAGCCTGGTAGTTAAAAGCCTTAAATGCTTCATGCTCCGTGCATTATAACCAAGACGACACCCGGTCACTACAATGAGGGTTTCTCTCTTAATATGAGGAGTTTTCTTATGAGGCCAGGACCACTGGATTCCTGACTCATGCTTTAACACTTTTAAAAGGAGTGGCATTAATTGATTTGTATACAGAAGAGGTTGCATTCACAATTGACTGTTATTGCTGAGAGTTGGACCATCGTGTTCTTCTATGAGCCATCTGTCAATATTCCAAATTTCATGATCAAAGGACTAGGCGTTTGAAAGCGGTTGAGGAAATATGGAAGCATGTTGCAACTGCTCTGTATAGCTGAACTTCCGGGGGATGGAAGAAGGATATAACAAATTTCCTGATTTTGCTCGTCAGAGGATTTTGCTGAATCTAGAGCCTATGAATTCAAAATTGCATAGCATAAAGGATAAGCATTGACTAAAAACAAGTGGTTATCATCAAGAGATGTTTGTGCGCATATAGATATATTCAAATCATACGATCATCATTAAAAAACAATGAGATAAGGATGCGTGATCTGCAGTTCCGTGATTTTAAAGAGAAGATAAGAGATGAAGGGTGCATATTAAAGAGATAGCATATGCATGATTATCCGTAAGAGATTATGGCTTATCAATATAAGAAAAAAGGATAAAAACCCATCTCTCGATGGGAGAAGGGTTTGCATTTTTAGAGGGTTCTCATTCTTTTCAAGAGAGACGCTTTTAGCTCGCATCTAAGAAAAAGTTAGCATGTCACGAGGAGTGGACCTGCTTGAGTTTGCTTCTGTGAGAACAGATAAAGTGATTGATATACACCAAGTGAAGAAGAGGCAGTCCCATATATAACTGTACTTCGAGAGTAATTAATAGAGATAGAGAGAGAAAGATAGTAATTTCCTGCAATCCACTTGAAGCCCGTTCTCGAAGGAAGACTAGACTTGAGGATTAGTATCCCTGCATGCAATCACATGTATAAAGGCCAATATGCCTTTTGATATTATTCACCCTTTTAATATGTCTGTATATTCTCTCCCTTAGAAACAAATGTATAGATTTCAATGCTAGAATCAAGGGTATTTGGCCTATTTTCCATTTCTTTGGCTAATGTAAATTGAGGATTAAACATCCGAAATTGTTCCGTTCCTAGTATATGATATGAAAAACCTGGTTTCTATGATATAAAATGCATGAGTAACTTTGACCTTGAGTGTGATGTCCTCTGGTCACTTGTTTGGAGTCTAATGTTTATTTAAACATTTTAATTAATCTAAGCATTGCATTTTCAGAGTGTCCAATGATTAAGGCAAAAATTGAACCTGATGAAATCACTTATACTTTGTTAATTGGTAGGCTTTGTAGGACTAATATGGTGGAGGAGGTTGTGAACATGTTAATGGAGATGGTAATGAAAAAATTTAGGCCTCGAATTGGTACTTATAATACAATGATTAAGGGTTTGTGCATTGGGAACAAGGTGGATGCTGCTATAGATATACTGGATATGATGGTTTCTAGGTGGTGTAGGCCTAATGAAGATCGCAGAGCCTGGATTTTCTATCCCTTCACTTTTAGAGAGAGAGTACACATTTTTCTTGTTGTAAACATTTTCTATCTGGCTTCTCATTTTATAGGGAGAAGAAGGGGTAACCATTGTATTTCTCCAACAGGTCTCTGAGAAATGAAATGGTTCCTTGATATCCAACGTGTGTCTGAGAAAATGAGGGGTTACGTTCATATGGACGTTAAATCATATGACCATTGGATATATTTGATTCCCACAAATGTAGGCTAAGATACGTAAGACCTCATAACCATATATGTCAACATCTCCCACTTGGCTATGACGATCGAGTATAATAAGTCACATGCATACTCCCACTTTTGAGTATGACCTATAAAAAAAATATCTTGTCTTGAGGTTTTCTCACGCAACTATGGATATGCATCTCATAACAAATGTCTATCATGAGGATTTTCACGCTAATGCTGATTTTTCACTCATGAAAACTGTCCGACTTAAACATTTTTAAGTTCTATTAAGCTAGTGTGCTTAGACAATACCCTTTGTTAATGGATCAACGATCATATATGATGAGGGCAATCACTAACGGTTACTTCATTTTTCTCAACTACATCATGAATGTAGTAATATTGGACATCT